TACCGGGGATTAGTACCGGGGATTGAACTCAGGACCCTGCGCTTGCCAGGCAAGTGCTTATTCTACTGAGCCATCTCCCCAGGCCATTGTGGAAATATTCTTGTCCCTGTCTTTTCTTACTCCTTCTTCTTCTTCTTCTGCAATTTCTCGGTTGAGTTTTTTGGGTTTTTCTTTTTTTTTTTTTTTGCATCCCAGGCAAGCATTCTGCCAGTAAGCTGCACTCCCAACCTGATGCCCCCTTTTGGGGGACGGTAGGGGAGATTGCAACTGGCCTACATAACCAACCTTTTTTATTTTAAAAAGAAGGCCTTGGTATTGCTGAATTGCTGCAGTCTCCAGAGTGGCATGGCTCAGTACTCCCATTTTTGACTTCTACTAGTTCATTTTCTCCTAACCAACCTTTAAATGTTATTTTGGAGCGAACCAGAAATAATTTGAGTTGAATGTCCTGTCAGTTAAATAAAGCTTTCTAAAGGGACAATTATACTTGAAAGAGTCAGTGAGAAATAGGCCAAATCCACCAGAGGCAGTACCAGGAACAATTTTGGGTGCTAGCAACTCAAGAGTAAATGAAATGGAGAACGTTTCTGATCTGAGTTTACACTGTAGTACAAGCACAAACGACCATATAAAACAGTATCACATGGTGATAATAGATACCAGAACAAAATGTGAAGAATGAGGTTATGAGCATGCAGGATGTTTATAGAGAAAAGTTCTCCTCTGAGGAAGTGTCATTAAGTGGGGCTCTCAATCAGATGAAAATTCAAGCCATACAAAGAGACCTAGACAAAGAATCCTTCAGATGGAAAAGCAAGAATAAAAGACTGGGTGGACTAAAGGTTAAGAGACTAATCAGACTTCTACCAACAAGTCCTCTGAGTATGGAGGGCGAAGTCTGGGCTGGTGGTGGGCCTCAGTGGTGGAATGCTTACCTGCGGGGTAGTGGGGGCTGATTCAATGCCCAGGACAAGGTAAAAACAGTGAGTCTCAGTGGCCCTTGAAACGAGAGATGGGCGGAGATCTGATTAATTAGGACTTCTCAGGCCCAGAGAAAGAGTGTAGATTTTGGTAGAGGACTTCAAGCAAGATGATAGGATTTGAATTACACTTTTAAAATAGCGTAATATGTAGTGGTTCAGTAAAGATTTGATGAGACATGTAAGTTTTTTTAATATTCTGCAATGCTGGGGATTGAACCCAGGGTCTTGCATATGCTAAACACGGCTCTACCTCTGAGCTACATCCCAAGCCCATGTCTACTTTTCAAGGATTCATATAGTTTTAAAAATCAAATCATATAAAATTATGGGAAAAAATTAAATAAAAAAATCAAATCAGAATTAATAGGACATGGCTTTATGTTATTGAGATACAATTGGAGGTGAAGGTAGAGTTTAAGAGTAAATATTTATGTTACCCTTTCAGTTTTCTCACCTGTAATGTAGGGCTAAAAAATGTTTTGTTAAAAAGTGTGCGAAGGGTGCTGAAGATGGTTATGTAAGATGTGCCTCGTAAACCCTTACATTGCGTTCCGTCACTACGTAGTTCGAGAGAAATGAAAATAGGCATATTATAAATTCTGAGAATCTCGGTGAGTGGAGCGGGGGCAAAAGGAAATCGTTGTGAAGGATTATAAACAAGAACTATTGGGGCAGGGGAGACAGCTCGGCGGCCCCCGCGCCTGCCCGGCGAGCGCAGGAGCCGGGCTGATCAGGCACCGCACACCGTGGGGCTCGGCGCAGACGGAGGCGCCCTGGGCGTCCCGGCGGCGTGGCCGGCTCCCGCGCCTCTCGGTCTGCACTCTGCCGGCTCCCGCGGCCCTCGGTCTGCACTCTGCCGGCTCCCGCGGCCCTCGGTCTGCACTCTGCCGGCCCGCCTCGTCGCGACTCCCTCCCCTCCCGAGGCCGCAGGAGTGCTCCGGGTCGTCTCTGGAGGGCTTTCCGTTCAAGACTGAACCACTGTCGCGAGCGGCGCGCCAGCTGGGCGGGATGCCCGCGGGGCACTTCCCCGGCGCGGCGGCGCGTCCTAGGGCTCGCCGGCCGGGGCTGTCGGCCACGGGGCCATCTCGGACCCTGCGGGCGAGGACGCGGGCGTTCCCACTCGCCGGACGCCTGATGCGCCCGCGGGACCCCGGAAGGCGTCGGCAGCGCCGGGCTCCGCCACCGAGCACCGCTCGCCGCCCGGGCTCCAGACCAAAGCCCTCGCTCCACCAAGTCTCGCGTAAGTGCGGCCGGGCGGGCGGGCGGGCGGGCGGGCGGGGAGCTCGAAATACCGCGAGACCACAGGGTTTCCCGCGAAGGAGAAGCGCGCGTTTTTCCCCAGCCCGGGTTTGGGCAGAGCGCTAGTCAGCCGGTTCCTGCGTGGGGTGCTATCACGCGGCCTTGCAGGTTCCGAAAAGCGCGCACAGCCGGTTCCCGGTGAGCGTGCAGCCATGCCCGCGGAGCGGCCGGCGAGCAGCGGCGGTGAGTGGCAGCGGTCTTCCTCGGGGCGGGCGTGAGGGCTGCGGCGCGCGGCGAGGAGCCGACCCCGGCCGGTGCGCTGTGG